AAACCTGATTAAGGGAAGAAGAAAGGTTAGGTGAAGGTCAATTATTTATGTGGGAATGTTATATTCCTGTACTGAGAGCAGAGAAAAGCTCCCAGAAAAACAAACCGTTCGACTTTTACCTGCACTTCGTTGTTTCGCTGTCTGATGGCATCCTCTTTCTCCTTGATCTCCTCTTCCACGGTGATCTTCTCCCTGGGGGTCCAGCACAACAGACACGAGTATTTAGCCACCAAGGACAGAGAGGGTACACCCGGTAATCCGAAGCCCCAGCCACTTCTCCACCGAGCCGTCTCTACCCTGCCCCTGAACCACCACCACCACTTCCTCCCCTTCAACCACCATGATGTCCTGAAATATAAACTCCTCAGCACACAGAGAGAAGCCGCCTGACTGTCTGCAGCTACAGCAGGTGTGTGTGTGTGTGTGTGGTGTGTGTGTGTGTGTGTGTGTGTGTGTGTGTGTGTGTGTGTGTGTGTGTGTGTGTGTGTGTGGTGTGTGGCGCTGTATGCGAGAGTTTTGCTGAAAGTGAGAATGTGCTAGTTCAGTGAAATGTGTGGGAGATGAGGAGTGAGAGGCAGATGGATGCCTGGAGGATGAGAGGAGTGACGATGAGCCAACCTACAACATCCATCACTTGTGCCGCCCTGTGTTTTATCCTCGCTAATTCACTCCACCCGGGAGAGAGGAAATGGAGCGAGGAGGAGTATTGACTTTTGTGCAATTAATAAATGTTTATTTTATGTTCTGCTATAGCTACGCTTTAGAAGGCACCAAAAACACTTACTTTGTGCGGTCAGGGGTTTGTACTGAAGTCATTAAACCTGATTAATCACGACTGATATACATTATTAAAGCATGCAGGAAGATGGATGGTACTCGTGTTATTAATGACACATTAGTATGGAGGTTCAAACTGCACCAAGATCCTACATTTTATTCACACACTTTTCTAATGTTTTTGTTTTTTACAAATGTTATTTCGTACCAAACTAATATTCAGATCACATACAATCTCGAAGTTTCCTTTTTTCCAAACCTCATATTATATTTACAAATAAAGCAAGAAGAAATACAATTAATTTAATAAAGAAATAGATGGATACAAACGGAAATATTCTTCTATTTTTATTTTATTTTGTATTTGTATTTATTTATAGAAGGACCATGCATACAAAAACATTAATCTCAGCAAAGAGAAGAGATGCAATATGCCAGATTATAGCTAATATCCATCTGTGGTCCTCAGGCAGGTTCATAACAATCAATAAACAAATAATAACATTGCATGATCTCTATCAGTCTAAACATGTATCCTTATACATAAGTACTCTGTCCACTTCCGCACTCAAATATATTTTCACATTTTATAGTATTTTTTCTCCACCTTTCTCATCCTCCTATCTAATATGTTTAACTCAGATTTTGTTTTAACATTATTGAAAAACTACCCTTAAGTGTCTTATTGTAGGTTTAACAAATGAGCTTTACCCATTGTAAATATTGGAAAATACCCTCCTAATAATACTAGGGTTGCCAGAAACTGACCATGATCAAAATCGATTATTCGGCAGCCCTGGCGAATAATAATCGATTAATCGGCTGTAGCCTGTATTATTAATAATAGCAGCATTGCAATAAATAAATTGTGCGCGCATCTTCAAATAAAGGCAATGGCAGGCACTTTAGACAATAAACAAAAAATAAACCACCATCATGTAGCCTGTATTAATAATAGCAGCATTGAAATACATTCAATAATTAGCCTATAGTTCCACGAGGAGGAACTCTTTTTACCTGCCGCTTTGTTCATCTAGTCGCACGTGTGAGGGAGGGTGAGGGAGGGTGGGGGTGGGGGCGGGGGCGGTGTGTAGCGTGCTGCAGTCTGCTCTGCACGCAGGCTTCCTCCAAGTTTACAGTAAAACAAACTGGTGGTTGTGACCAATGGCCATTTACAATTATTAATACTATTACTATTATTAGCATTAGTTTATATTTTGGTTGAAACTAAGCCAGAAAAAAAAAAAAAAAAACATAAATAATAATAAATATAAATAAAATCGATTTTTAAAAATAATATTCGATTATGGAGACTGTAACGATTAATCGAATAATCGCTGGCATCCCTAAATAATACTAAACCAACCCATTTATGCAAATGTGCAGGTATATATATTCAGCAGGAACTTGCACTATCCGACTACTTTTTACGATGTTTTATTTGATTGTTGCCTCTGTGTTAAGTGTCCTGTCTGCCTGTAACTTTGTGTGGTAGCGTTACCACTGAACCAATGACCAATGAGATTCACCTGTTTAAATAAAGGCTAAATAAAAAAATTAAATATAGAATGCATGGTCGTGCAAAAAGGCATTCGAATGTCAACAAAGCAAACCAGCAGCAACATTGAGTAATCTCCTCAAATAGGGATGTTGCGTAATTATTTTTCACACGTTAGCATCGCCGTTAATGATAGGATTACATGTGATTTAATAATCGTACCATGTTTCAGCTCTGAGAAAAAATATTCTTTAAAAAAGTACAATATTTAATATGTGCATTTCTTGTGTAAAAACAATACAGGACTCTCTTATAATTCCTGTAAGTTTCACATTAAGATGGACTGGATATTAAAAAACAAAATCATTTGTAATTCTTTTCAACCCCGACTAAAAATAACGGCAGCTATTTTTAAATTCTCTCTCACATCAAAATGCACAATTGCCTTGATAACTGATGAATATCCTCCCAGTTTCACTCTTCCTCCTCTTACCCATCCTCATCCTCCTCCTGAGCAGAAGGCTGCGGCCACATTTTGAAGCAGGCACAAACATGAATCATCGTTTTAAATTCCCTCAATCTGCTGCCTGTCTGAAGCTCTGGTCTTCACTTCTATCAATCATTCTTACCTCTCCTTCCTCCCTCTCCAACAGCTGCAATCTGGTGTGAGTGTGAGTGTGTGTGTGTGTGTGTGTGTGTGGTGTGTGTGTGTGTGTGTGTGTGTGGTGTGTGTGTGTGTGTGTGGTGTGTGTGTGTGTGTGTGTGTGTGTGTGTGTGTGTGTGTGTGTGGTGTGTGTGCAGAAAGGTGGGGGGTGTGGTTTAGGAAGGCCAACTTTTCTCACTTCTCAATCTTAGCTTTCATGAAAAGGGAGGAAGCGTTAAGAAAAAGTGTTTCGAAACAACAGCTACTGACTACCAACCAGTCAATGAAACCAAGAAAACATGAACATTTTCTGGCATCTGCCTTAAAGTGAAGTAATAACGTGAAGGAACCATTAGGAACTGTTATATAGTTTGAACAATTACATCGGTTATATGTTACGTTTTATGTTGTTAAAAATGTATTTGACTTTCTGACTGTTGTTACCTTGGTTTTCTTGTGGTAGAGTTTCTATGGAAGTGATAGAAAATTGTATAAATAATGTCTGGTTTCTATTTCATATTCTACCCATCCCTCCCCTCTTCCACCTCACTGTTAAATAACAGAAACATGACTGCGCTTTAGAGCTGCTGTGTTTGAGAGCTGCAGCAGGAACACACGTGTTTCTTTGTTTTGAGTGCGTTAGTGATATCATCTTGTAACAACCAGAGTTGGTTCCACAAATAAAAACTCCAGCTGGGATCAGGGGTTAGTAACAACCACTTGTTTCCGGATGTGTAGAATTGATTTGTGCAGCTCAGTTTGTGGGAAACACTGCCTCCTGCTGGTCAGTTAAGATACAGACATACAGTCCATCGATTATTATTTGGATGAGCATTAAATAACATTCATATGCTAGTTGCTGTTTGTGTGTGTGATACAAACCCAGTTGATTGTGTTAAATGGGCATTTTAAACATTCTCATATTGCTCACAAGACCCTAAATCATATCAGACTGTCAATCTATCGTGTTGTTGTCAAAAGAATCGATCTATAATAATTGCAATGAAAGTCGTGATTTACACCCTTCTGTACTAACTATTATATAACCATCCTAATCAATTAGTGGAAACTCTTAACGAGTACAGGCCATTTTAAGGGGACATCTTCTCACAACAAGTGGTATATCCTTCTCAAATACTGTATGTCTCTAGTTATATGCATGGTTTTAATAGAGACAATGAGAACAACTGCTTACTTTTGTAGTTCGACAATCTCGTTGCTGAGCGAGTCGAGCTCCTTGATGGCAGAGAAGTCAGCGGACAGGTTCGCCAAGTTGTTCTGGAGAGGAAGCGAGGCAGAGGAATACAAGAGGATTAAAGTCACATCTTAAAGTTAAACGGTAACGAAACGTCCTAAACAGAAGGCTACGAATTACCATCACATCGGCTCAATTACAATCCGGGCCCTACACCCTTACCCCAACTTTACCCGTTTTCTAATCTAGAAAATGTTAGACGTGTTCATTTGATTGTCAATAGTTGTATATTACAGAGATTGTAGCTCAGAAACACCAGGTTTAAAAACAAGCAAACTGTCTAAATATTGAGTTTTATCATAAATATTGATTAGTTTTGATTTTAAACTACGGTTACGAAAGTTAGGACAGTTCCTGTTTCTGCCGGAGAGAGGCGTTTGTCCCAAAACAAGGATGTTGTCATATTCTTTTAATAAAATGTTCTCCCTGAGGTTTCTTCCATAGTTCCCCTTTATTGAATTCCTTAGAGTCTTCCTTGTCTGCAGTAAGGGTCTAACGACAGAGGTCGTTTTAGACACTGTGGTTACACCCTAAAACTTAAAGAAAAAGCCTAATTTATCACCATAATGAGAACATGGAGTTAAGGTGTGTGTAAGGGACGGTTTGGAATTGGGCCATAGACTCATTTTAGACTCACACTAGAGAAAACAGAAGTATTACTACGTGGATGAAAACTCTTAAGGACATGTAGGACAATAAAAATGCCACCGATTAAACAAATGAACAGCTGATTGAAGTGATGGCTTTACCCCAAAAGAATCACACATGAAAGCCACTGATGGAGACACAACATGTCAGGGATGGGAGGAAGTTTTGAATCTGAGGTAAGGATGGGAGGATACTACATTAAATTACACTTCTAATGCTTTCATTTAGCTATTTGCATCTACATCTACCTCCAGGCAAATGTATCTACTTTGGACTCACATTTAATTACCTTGAAGCACTTTGAGCATCAGGAAAAGCGCTATATAAATCAAATGTATTATTATTTATTCATATATGTATAAGTAAATCCAGCTACTCTGTGCTTTACTAATCCTGTTGTTGTTATATTACATTTGTTATTCCTGTGTTTGCAAATTATTGTCGTTGCTGCTCTGATTCCCCTATATAGGCTAGTGACAATGGCCCCAACATTTTGAGATACCCCTCCCGGAGTTAGGACAAAACACAACTTACTTTTTCCTCATCTCTAAGGCCTCCCATACATGAAAGGAAAAAGTAAGTTGTGTTTTGTCCTAACTCCGGGAGCGGTATCTCGAAAACTAAAGCCCTTTTTGGCTGTTTGTCACAGGCCTATATAGCAGTGGTTCTCAAATGGGGGGTACGCGGACCCCTAGGGGTACGTTGGAGTACTGCAGGGGGGACGTGAGATTTATTTTTATGTTAATGTTATTATTATGCTCCAAATATCTGGAACAAACTCCCAGAAACCTGCAGGTCCGCTACAACTCTGACTACTTTTAAATCCAGGCTGAAGACTTTTCTTTTTGTCGCTGCTTTTAATTGAATTATTCATATCTTAGACTGCACTGTAACTTTTATCCATGTACTTTTTTCTTTTAATGTTTAATTGACAGCACTGTAACTTTTATCCATGTATTTTTTTTCTTTTAATGTTTATTTTATTAGCTTTTCTTTTTAATGACTGATTTTAAATGCCGTTTTCTTAATCTCTTTCATTTTTTGTAAAGCACTTTGAATTGCCTTGTGTTGAAAAGTGCGATATAAATAAACTTGCCTTGCCTTAATGAAAAAAATACCAATTTTACGGAAAAGTAAGGAAGTTTGAGCAGTGTGGGTTTTATAGTTACACATATTTCAAAACGCGAAGTGTAATAACTGCAGGTTGCCTCTCTGTCAGAATGACAAAGCTCCTCAGTGAAGCACAAGCCCATGTTTCACTACATTATAAGTACAACTTATTAAAAGGATCAGTTCAATGCAACTATGTCGTCTTAGTGTTTGTGACGAAGGTAACTTCGTCACTTGTGACGGACGGCTTCGGGCCTGGTAACTCAGCACTTTAGTGAAACAGTTTTGCACTTTATTAGCGTGATTGCACAGTACCGTTGGTATGGCATATTTGGCACATTTTAAATACTAATTATTGAGATAGTATTTATTAAAGGATTGTGTGTACCTGGTGCCCTGTGTTGTCTCCTCCCCCCTCACCTGTGTCTAGTTGCTGATTAGTGTGTGTGGGTATTTAGGCTCTGTTTTCCCTGTCTGTTAGGAAAGGGAGTGTGTGTGTGTGTGTGTGTGTGTGTGGTGTGTGAGAGATCCTGGTGGCTGCAGGCTGGGCTCACGTGAACAGCAGCAGCAGGATTGAGGATGTGTTCATATTTATTTTATTTTAATAAATGCCCACGTCGGGTTATATTTTGGACGTTCTGCCTCTGCCTCCTTGCTTGGTCTGGGCCGCTCAACGCTCAGCTTCTCTCAGTGTTATTGCATGATGTTAAAATTGGTTTTAGTGACGGATTGTAACATTTGAAATGTAGCATTGAAGTATTTCTTCAGTTACAATGTTGTTGTTTTAATAAATCAGACACCGATGGTGCAGCGCTGTGCTGTACCTCTTTATAGGCATTTCTTCCCCTGACAAATTGTTTTTGTTGCTGATCAGGGGGGACGTGGCTGAATGTTTTTTTTCAAAGGGGGTACATTATTGAAAAAGGTTTGAGAATCACTGCCCTATAGGTTTTTATTAAAAGGTTTATCCAACCTTGTCTTAAACTGTAATGAACTGAGAGATAAACCAAACTATGGCTTAGTTTCAGAAACAAAGGACAGATGTGTGAGACCAAATGAGCGGAAAGATGACGAAGAGAGACAGCTTGAATTAAGTAATGAGACGCCCCGGAGTCAGTAAACTATCACACACACACTCACTCAGGATCATTGCTCTGCACGTGAGAAGTTGATGCAATGTTAAAATGTAAAGAGAGGACACAGAAGGAAAGCATTAAAGTGTAAGTTGGAAAAGAAAGACACACAGCTGCAAGTTGGGAAAAATAGAAATAATCCAAAAACGCCAGAAAGAAGGAACAATGTCAGACAAAATAATTGAAGCGAGAAACTTAAATTTGACTTTCAGCTAAAACATACTTATAAACCTCAGTTAGGATAGGCATACTTGAATGTCTAAAGTCACTGGCTCTATGCAGTGTTTTAAACTGGAAATATAATCAAAGGTATTAATGGTTAATGTGTTTCTCAAACTTTTTCACTTAACCAATAAAAAAACACTCGCGGACCACCTAACTCCACAAATATCCAAAATCACATCGTTTTTCTAGAACAGATTACAAATCGCCTGAAAATGGTACAAACAAGTGGCAACATGTGTGACGAAGGTGTTGCCCTGGGCTATATCATACAATCGAAAGTGAAACTTAAGCTCGCTCCATTGCGGAGATATTCCCGCGAAAGTGTGGAAAACTTAAATTTATTTATTTATTTCAAATGTGAAATTGTACCAATATACTCACAGGCCACTAGGGGGCGCTCACACTCTGAGAAGCACTGGTGTACATTGATGTTGTTGGTTTGTAATATTTTTCCTTTCATACATTGATTAGGTATAATTGAATTAATGGATGTTTGTTATTTTCAAGTAATGTTGATTTTTCTTTAACTGTGTTCATTAGGGGTGGAATAGTGCTGGAGACAGTCATATGGAATATTGATGCTGTTAATACAACACCGGGTTGTATTTGGACGTTCTGCCTCTGCCTCCTTACTTTGGTCGGGCCGCTCACTTGCCAGTCTCTAAAAATGCTGCTAAAAGTGTGTGTGTGAGAATGTTTAAATAAAAATAAGCAGTAGAATGAAATCAAGTCATGCTGAGGGTATGTCTGTCTTTCTTGCTTTAGGGGAGTAGAATATATTTATGATGTTTTTTGAAAGTGAGTCCATACAACAATATTATTAGGAGCTTAATTTAATCTTGAAATGTAAAACATAGTCGGTAAAACTAGGCACTCTGGTGGCAGACGTTTAAAAAGTTGTATGAGTCATCTGTGGTTATAAAACAGAAAGGAACAAAGCTTGAAGTTTTAGGAAAACCACTAGATTTTCTCTCATCATTAAGGAAGCATAAATCACCTTTTAATTATAAAAATATGTACATTTTCTTTAATATAAGCTCAAAGGAGTCAAATAAATATAATCCAAACATCACCAATTTCCTATTCATAGATCTAAGAGCTCGTAGTTGACTCACCTGCTTGATGTTCTGTCGGTTCAGATGGAGGGATCATCTCCGGGGAAAGGCTCTGCGGAGGCTCCAGTCCTGTAGTCAGCCTTTGAGTGATCAGATGAAGCGCCAGAGCAAACTGCTCCCCGGGTCAGTTTCCCGATGTCTCCGATGTCACAAAGCTCCCTGAGAACACGAACACACACACACACACACACACACACCACACACACACACACACCACACACACACATCCACACACACACACACACCACCACACACCACACACACACACACACACCCACCACACAACCACACACCACACACACACACACACACACACACACACCACACACACACACACACACACACACACACACACACACACACACACACACACCACACACACACACACCACACACACACACACACACACACACACACACAACACACACACACACACACACACACACACACACTTAACCCACACACAAACACACACACACACACACACCACACACACATCACACACACACACACACCCACACACACACACACCACCCACACACACCACACCACACCCACACACACACACACACACACACCACACACACACACACACACGAAACAATTGACACCTCAGGCAACGACTATTGGAGATAGTTGACCGATCATTGTGTTCAACACGCTATGAAGACCTCATGCTGCACCAATATCAACTCGAGCGACATCATTTGTCATTCGATTAATTGACAATTTATGTTTCTTTACTCTTTGCAACTCCAATCATAAGTGAACTGTAATTTTCTAGGTGTTTCTACTGTGGACATTTGAAACACAGCATGTGATTTAACAATTCCTTAATGCCTATTCTGGCAACTGATTTTCTTCAAATGAATTTCTATTCTACTTTGTATGGATCGCATGTTTTTGGCAAATATATATTAACTTAGACTACAATAAACTAAGTGCTACTTTTTTGCTGACAAAAATGTAGGGGCTCTGCTTTTTGTTTGGTTGTCAATGTCCTTTTTGTGAGCATTGTTAAATGTATTTTTAATGAGGCCTCATTGTGGTGAATTTGTCATTTCTAATGCACATTTTTACAGTCAGTCAAAATTAACATAAATTACCCAAGCCAGTGCCTCAATCACAGTTTAATTCTAAGTAGGAAGTGTTTTATAATATTTAACGATGGACCAGATGTGAAACTTTTAGAGAACAATTCCCGAACATATGGCTTTTCTTTTCACACAACAACCCATCCTGTACAAAACTATATGGCTTTTTAAGTGTCTTCGGTCGTCAGAAAAAGTCTTATTTGCTGCCCAAGAGATTTGCTGTCCCTACTTACCAGATCCGTGCGAGTGTGGCGGAGGGAAGCCCGGTTTTGAGGAAGATATCTCTGACTTCAGGTCCCGACACGAGGCCGTCCATGTCCCCGTCTGTTTTGTTGAACAGCTCATCGTACTTAGCTTTTTCTGCTGTCGACACCACCCACTGCACAGGCAACAAAACACACTTTGAATCAGCACCTCCAGATTTCATTAGATTCCTTTATTGTCACGACACAGATTACAGAGAAATTCCAAGCATTCCCAATGGTGCAATCCACACATAACAGACAGTATAAGTATCATTTGACCATACAAGCTACAGACATTTAATATATACTATTATAAAGTGACACAAAATTGGACCTATGATACGTAGAACAGTACAACATACAAATACAAGGACAACCTACGACCCTAACTCAGGACTTACCTTCACACTATCCCTCTTCTTGATCTTTTTCTTAAAAACGCAGTGAGCTAAGCAATTTGAAATCATTATGAATGTGTGTTGTTGAAGCTAAGAGGCAGTGTTTGAGGCGGTGCATGCAGAGGAGAGTCTGGGTCTGATACTCACAGGGGAGGCGGCTGGTGTTGGGGACGGGAGCTGGGACGGGAGCTGGGGCGGGAGCTGGGACGGGAGCGGGAGCTGGGGCGGGTCTTGGGGGCGGGGGCAGGGCCTTAGAGGCAGCGTGGGCGGAGCGACTGTCTTTGACGGAGGGGGGCGAGGGTAACAGGGGCATCACGGGGGGCACAGAGGGCTTTTTCCTTTTGGAGGGAGGAACCAGGGGGGGTGGAAGGGACATGGGAACAGGCTCACCCTCCAGGGCTCTGTACACCAGATACATGGCCTGGGAAAGGGCAACACAAATCAATTAGGAAACGCAATTACCAATAAAAACATCCTGTGGTTATAACAGCCTTACTAACACTGGTTTAACATGTCTTACTTGTTTCAATCAGGGCTACAGAATGTTTTTATTCTTAAAAGATCATACACATATCACTGGTTGACTGTAACTACAAAATACATTTACTTGAGTTACTTTTATCTTTCCAATCAATGCTAAATTACACTTCAACCAATAGTTGGCAGTATAAATAGTAATTAAAGTTAGCTCAACTTGCACAATTAAAATGATATACACATTAATGGATTACTTAGTATAATCTAGTCATATAATATATCTTATTTCTGAATAATAAGCACTTTTAGCTTTGGTACTTTAAGTATATTTTCATACTTTAACTTTTATTAATGTTACATTTTGAATTCAGGACTTATACTTGTCACAAAGCGGTACAATAACTTTTAATTAAGTAGAATATCTAAGTATTTCTGCACCTCTGCACACAATATTAATACATGTGTGCCCAAAATCTATCATCATATTTCTGGTAAGCATAATTAGATAATATAAATTAAATAACAACACGGTTTTTGTATTTCTGTGTGAATTAAATACTTGAAAAATAAGAAAAATACTGAGTATTTTCTCAATAAATTAAGAACAAAAAAGCTAAATAAACATAACAATTTAAAGTGGAGTCAGAGAGAAAAATAATATAGATATGTACAATATACACATCGTTTGTTAATCGCATTAAACTGAGTAGAGATGTTAAGTGTGACCCAAAAACAAAATCTTACATTTATAATCCCCTCAAAATATTCCCCATCAGATGTTTTGAGAAACTTAAATTAGTTTGTGCTTGTTCTTATCAATTGAGACGTGACCATGTATCACAATATCTCCATTTATGATCAGAATATTTAATATCAGTTAAAGGTAGGGTAGGTAAGAATGGAGAAACCAGCTGGAGTGCGCTAGAATTTGAAAGTACGCACCCTTCCTTCAGACTTCCTCACAGAGCCCCTCCTCCAACACACACGAACACGCACATGACCAATGAGGGCACGAGATAAGCTTGTGCCCAGATGGAAGGCTGACAGGCAGGTAGGCCATCCAGTTACTTTAGCCGGCTCAGAGGATTGATCGTGCTTTTTACAGCGCCACGGCTTCCAGAGATGACGTGATGTATTTATTGTCAAAGCATTTAATGTATTCATTGCTATCGGGATGTTAAGAGCATTCCATGGTGTTTCTGAAGTGAATGACCTACCCCTCCTTTAACACACAGCGTACACTGAAACTAAGTGACTGAAACTCTTTATTGGTTTCTTTCCGCTTTGATATTCAACTCAACTCTTACCACAGAAAATTCATCTCTGTCCAACATGCCGTCCCTGTCGATGTCACTGAGCTCCCACACCTTCAAAAAAAACACACACACACACAGCATTACAAACGTTATGTTCCATGTAAGCACTGACTCAAAACCTAATCTCACTTCCACTTTTTTTCATTTTCTGGATGTTTAAATTAGCTAGTTCAAGCTTTTTTTGAAAACCACCTGCCTCAATTCACTTCCTGTTTTTTTAAAGCATAGGGTTTTTTTCTTTAGCTTCGTCACTTTCCTCCGTCTATAGATTGTAAAAGAAAGTCCAGTTTTAGGATCGTACCCGGCCCAGGATGTCCACTGGCAGCTTGGAGTTGAGCAGGACGGGTTTGACTTTGTCTCCCGTTAAAATCCCTCCTGATGGACCCAGACTTTCAAAGATGGCGTCAAACTTCATCTTCTCCTCAGGCTGGGGAAAAAAACAGATTAGAGACGGAGGGTTCAAAACATGGGGCAGAAACTAAAGATGAAAAAACAGAATGATGAATTACATTTTGAAAGAAATCGGCTGAGGCCTCTGCTCACAAAGGCATACCATTTATTCATCATGGTATGTTACTGAGCCAAACCTATACAATATATTTGTTATTTATGCAATTTTACGGAAGATCTTTCTCCCTAAGAAACAAGGAATGCTGCCATCTTTTGTTGAGTGCAATATAGCTATTTATTATATATTCTTACGTTTCTTTAAATAGCTTTTTGATTAAACCAGGGTCTATGCAGGAATCCTGAAGTCAGATGTAAAACCTTTTAAGACCTTTTTCTAGACCCTTCCCATACATTTTAAGACCTCATCGCCACTTGGAGTTCTAACCGGTTACCTTGGCGACACACTTTACCTCACATTGACTATATACAGTATTCATTGTCCTTCCTCCTTATCTTCCAACCATTTGGACGCAGACTTGCATTTCCCCATAACGATGTTGTTTAACAACCGGCGTAAACGGACCTTCGCGCTATCAAGCAGTGAGCGTGCGATGTCCTGTTCAGATGACGTCAAACCCAACGGGATGCCATCAATAAACTACACAGAATCACACTACACACCTACGCAATGATTACATTCAGGCAGACTGTAGAATACAACCTCTTTGGACCATTTATATACTTATTGAAAACAAGATACAAAATGTAACACCTTGGAAAATGCCATTTAATGCTTTTTAATAGCCTTAATTTTCGCTAAATTGATTTATCAACTTTTAATACTTTTTAAGACCCCGCGGACACCCTGTAAACGTATTTAGTTGATCAATTTGTATTCATTGCTCAGATGACTGTGTGCAGATCTTTTTAAGCAAAGAGACAATTCAGAAATAAAAAGTTTAAAGTGGACCTATCATGCTATATTGGAAACATATATTGTAGGGCTATACCTATACAAAACATGTCTGTGAAGTGTTTTCCTTAAGATACCCCATTGTTGCCATGCCTCATACTGCTCAAACCCCTCTTGTGCAGCCCTGTTAGAGAAACGCAGATTTTGGGTCCTTAGCTTAAAAAAAAAGAGGAGGCGGAGGTAATGCCTGATCAGAATTCTACCGGAGATAAAGTTACATTCTGCTGTGATAAAACGCCATCCTGTTCTAAACCACATCAAGGATTATTTCTGAAAACAGTATGGAGCTCAAATGCTTTTTCTCTTGCAGGTTTATCACAAGGTGAGTTCCTTTTTTTATTCCCTGCTTTTTAAACCCCTGCTCTCCAGTACAGGTTAGCTCTGAGTGTTAGCGAGGCTTGCTAATGTAAACAAAGACCAGATTACGTCCAAAACACGTCAGGCATTGTTTCTGATAGCAACTCTCTGTGGGTCCGCTGCCGATTTGACGTCAGATCGGCAGCAAATCTGGATCAGCTTGATGTACCCCCGTTTTTAAAATATTTGGGTACGGAGGAAAAGAGAGCGGGTTTTATTTGTTGACGCTGCGTGAGTTCCCCGACACACCGGGGACACATATTCATGTATAAAAGACATCAAAAAGTGCATTTTGCATGATAGGTCCCCTTTAAGACACACTAAAACAATAAGATAGTAAAGGTAATGCTGCCTCACCTTGACGACCCAGTGAAGGTCACCGGCTGATCCTCCTGCTAACTGCGGACTGCTTGTGTCGTGCTGGAGATAAACAAAACTTAGTTAGACTTCAATTACATTTTAAATAAATTCAATAAACCATTTTTAGTTTTTAATGTGCTCAGACAGACAAAGGAGCTGTTTAAGATAATGTTTGAGTGATGGGAAATTGTTAACTTAATTAAAAATTAAATAAGTCATCATAAAGTAAAGTTGAAACATTTTTTAAAAGCCTCTTCGGATGTTCTAATTAAAACAAATATTAAAAATATATGATTATGTTGGTTGTTTGCAGCAGCAGACTTACAAATGTAGGTGGAGGAACGGCCAAATGAAGGCTCTTGAGCGCCACCTCCAGGCCATTTTGAGCACAGGCAACCAACCGCAGCGCTATGAAGAATTGCTGGGAGGAACAGGTGTAAACAACGTGACGTAAATGTATTAATCAAACTCAACCGACGTATATAAAACAAGCAAATCCATTATGATGCAACTATTTACCTGTTTGTTAAGAGCACCTTTACGTTCACAGTCTGCCAAATCCCAGATCTATGAACACACACACACACACTTCATTTATTTATATCCAAGGACACAAACAATGCGATCAGACATTCCACAAGAGCCGCCAGACATGCGCTCAGTCTACACACACACGGAGGATAATTAGAAAGCGGCGCTATTCCTGAACAGGTGAGTAACAGCAGGACGGTCACACACACACACACACACACACACACACACACACACACACACACACACACACACACACACACACACACACACACACACACACACACACACACACACACACACACACACACACACACACACACACACACACACACACACACCCACACACACACCACACACACACACACACACACACACACCACACACACACACACACACACACACACACACACACACACACACACACACACACACACACACACACACACACACACACACACACACACACACACACACACACACACACACACACACGATTAATATTAGGGATGGGAACGATCGAATATTCTAAATTATTCAGGTATTCGAATGAGTTATGAATATTTGTATTGTAATTTCTTTTTGAGAGGGGTGCCTAAGTTGATTACATATTATCAAATGGAATAATTAAATGTACACGACAGTGCCATAGCTAAGTGTGTCAGGTCTAAAGGTGTGTTTTGCTCCGCTCACCGGTCCCTCACAGCGGGCAGAGCTGCAGCTGATCTCTCTCTCGCGTCCGGTTATACTTCACTCGCGTTTATGTCCAAATCCATCAGATCTAGCTAGTTCTAGCTAATGATACGGCTGCTGCCTCTCCCTACACGCAGATCACGCAGACTCAAACCTCATCTTATGCCAAAATCCGCAGTTACCCTGTTGCGAGGTTCCGACGCTAACAGTTCACGAGCGTACGCCACATTTGGCCACCGGGCCGTAGTTTGGACAATAAACGGTTTGAATATAAACAGCAGAGACAATAGAGACGTTGACGTTGCTCTGAGAGTCTTTGCTCACCTTCCCCAGGACCAAGTCTGCCAAACCCGACCTCTTCAGGAAGAGAGCAGCATCAGCGGCCGCCACCCGCCCACTGCCAGTCGGATCAACCTGTACACAAAAAACAAATAAATAAATAACATTGCAAACACAGTAACTTTATTTACCGTGGATCTTCTACAGGTCGTCCTTATATTTAATAATATTTTAAAAGAGTTAAATGTTAAATAAGTCTGAAAACACAAAATACAGTTCAATCATTTCTTATGTTTATATAAATATTGTTATTCTATTTTTATTTAATTCTACCTTATATTTGACATTTACTTTAATATTTTATGTGTATATGAATAATTATATTTTATTATATATATATTTCACATTGTTACTTTAACTTTGTGTGTTTATTTAAAGGTCACCTATCATGCTAATTTTAGGCAATAGCATAGCTCTCAGATATATAAAAATATATAAAAAAACATGTCTATGAAGTGTTTTGCTCAAAATACCAAACCCATTCTAGCCACGCCTCATATCCCTCTATTTCACCCTGATTTGGGAATAAAGCTTTAAAAAATTGACACAAAATAAAAAGGAGGGTCTGAGCTCATGCGGGACCCGGCAGCTACTGTCTAAACTAAATACTGCCGTGATGAAACGCCATATCATGGATTATCAAGGATTCTCTCTGAAACAGTTTGGAGCTCAAAGGCTTTCTCTCTTGCCGGTTATACCACAAGGTGAGTTCCTTTTTACTTCCTGCTTCTTCACACACATGCTCTCCAGTACAGGTTAGCTCTGAGTGTTAGCGATGCTAATGTAAACACCGACCATATTACGTCCAAAACAGTCGGGCATTGTTTCTGATAGCAACGTTTCTGATTGGGCCGTGGGTCCACATTTCAGATATTACGTCATATCGGACACAAATCTGGATCTGCTCCGTTGTTCCCCCGTTTTTAGAGATTTGGGTACGGAGGAAAAGAGAGAGTATAAAATACATCAAAAAGTGCATTTTGCATGATAGGTCCCCTTTATTATATATATATATATATTTTTTTTTTTTTAATGTTTTAAATATTTAATTTCAAAATGGAGGACCTGGCACAAAACCCAATTTCCCCCGGGATAAACAAGTTTTATGATTCTGAATAAATCCAACATATTATTAGCATTATTATTATTGCTATTAGCATTAGCAAAAATGTATTTGTACAACCTAAATGATAGTCTACCAGTTAGCTTTGAGTCTAGTGTAATACCCATGGATGTATAATAAGAACTGGATACAGCGTCGGAGGCGGGGTCTCGTTCTTTCCTATGAGAGCTGCTCATTGGCGCATGAGGACAAAATGGCCCAACTTTTGAGAGAGCGAAATGTCACAGATTACCCATCATGCCTAGCTGTCAGAGCAGAAGAACCAAGCCCCCAGGAAGTGCGCCGGACTCTGAGGAAAATATTCGTTGTGTCCAAACGGCGCTACTGCAACTTCCGTATCAGTCCGTGACGTCCCTGGGCCCAGAAAGACTTTTTCCCATTGACTAACATTGGGAAAGAGACGTCTGTAAATTGCTGGATATTTTTTTTTAACTAAATAAACTACCCAGTATGAACATTTGTATAGCCCTTATTAAAAACAGTAGGTCCTCAAGTTGTAAAATGTGCTAATAACGTTATTCTGAGAGTTATTTTCCTCGGCATTATGAACGTGCATCTGAGTGGGAGCTCAGGGGGTGGGGCTTAAGGGGAAACTCTACTGCGCATGCTCTATGAGCGCACATACGGGTACTTCTGCTCTGACAGCTAGGCATGATGGGTAATCTGTGACGTTTCGCTCTCTCAAAAGTTGGGCCATTTTGTCCTCATGCGCCAATGAGCAGCTCTCATAGGAAAGAACGAGACCCCGCCTCCCACGCTGTATCCAGTTCTTATTATACATCCATGAGAAGAACCCGTATGTGCGCTCACAGAGCATGCGCCCCTTAAGCCCCGCCCCCCGAGCTCCAACTCTCGGCTCAGTAGAATGAATGGAGACAGAAAATAAATCTAGATTCGACTTTTAGTGCATTTTACAACTTTACCGACCTAATGATTTTAATAAGGGCTATAACATAGTTCATACTGGGTAGTTTATTTAGTTTTAAAAAAGTATCCGCTGATTTACAGACGTCTCTTTCCCAATGTTAGTCAATGGGGAAAAGTCTTTCTGGGCCCAGTGACGTCACGGACTGATACGGAAGTTGTAGTACCGCCGTTTGGACACAACGAATATTTTCATCAGAGTCCGGCGCACTTCCTGGGGGCTTGGTAATACCATTAGCTAGCAAACCAATGCTAATTCCCTGAACATGGTACAGCAATTAATGCATATTATATTAATATTTGTGCATTGTATGCCTCACAGAAAGGTTTTGTATACAAATCAAATTTGATTTGTAGAGCACATTTAAAAACGATTTTGGTCGAGCCAAAGTGCTGTACATGTAATTTAAACACATAAAAACACATTACATCACAATAAAAGACAATAAATCACAACAGATAAAAAAAACACATGGAACAGTCAGGAGTCGTGACCCCACTCTAACTAGAAGGCCAGAGAGAAGTAGTGTGTCTTCAGTGAGGATTTAAAAGCCCCTAGGGTCTGGGCCGACCTCACATGGAGGGGCAGAGTGTTCCAGAGCCTGGGGCCAGGCCAGCAGACCTTAAGGCTCTGGCTGGGGTGTAGCGCTGGAGGAGTTCAGCTATATAGGCCGGAGCCAGCCCATTTAGTGCTTTAAAAACAAATAAAAGGATTTTAAAATCAATTCTGAACCGGACTGGAAGCCAGTGTAGTGAGGCCAGAATTGGGGTGATGTGAGGTGACGCTTTTTGTGGCCAGTCAGGAGACGTGCAGCTGCGTTTTGGACTAGCTGCAGGCGTTTAATTGATGCCTGGTCCATACCCACACACAGAGCATTACAATAGTCCAGTCTTGAGGTCACAAAGGCGTTAATAACCCTTTCCAGGTCTTTAAAAGATAAATACGACTTGGTTTTGGCCAATAGTCTTATTTTAAAAAAGCAGGATTTTACTACCGTGCTGACCTGCTTGTCGAATTTAAAAGTGCTATTGAAGGTCACTCCAAGGTTCAAGACAGAGGGGAGGATGTTTTTACTTAGGGAGCCCAGAATATCAACCGGAGAGGCTGGAGGTTGGGGTCCAAAAAAGATTACCTCGGTCTTGCTCTCATTGAGGTTGAGGCCAGGATTTTATCTCTGTTAAGCAGTCCATCAACTGCTGGAGTGAGTTCACATTTGCTTTGAGAGGCAGATAGATCTTTACATCGTCCGCATAGTGGAAGGGAATATTGTGTTTCGTGAGAATTGAACCTAGGGGCAGTATGTACAGTAAAAAGAGGATGGGGCCCAGAATTGAGCCTTGGGGGACCCCACAGGTAAGAGGGGCTTTGGCAGAGGAGAAGGCACCTAGCTGCACTAAAAAGCTACGGTCTGTCAGGTAAGACCTAAACCATGCAAGGGCAGAGCCCGTGATGCCTGCGGACTGTTCAAGCCGTGACAACAGGATGCTATGGTCCACAGTGTCGAAGGCAGCTGTCAGGTCCAACAGCACCAAGACAGCTGAGCTACCTGAATCGGCGGCTAGGAGCAGATCATTAAAAACTCTTAAAAGGGCTGTTTCAGTGCTGTGCATGGGTTTAAAGCCAGACTGAAACTTTTCATGGATGCCATGCGTGGTTAAGAACGACTGCAGCTGGACATAGACTACTCGCTCCAGGGCTTTAGATAAAAAAGGTAGCTGGGAAATGGGCCTAAAATTTGCGAGAATGGAGGGGTCAAGATTTTTCTTTTTAAGTAGTGGCTTGACCACGGCATGTTTGAAGGCAGCTGGGACACATCCTGAGCTAAGAGAGGTGTTTACAAGCAATAAAATACTTGCTCCAACTGATTCGAAAACGTCTCATCAGTAACCCATCTCTGCATATGAGCCGATAGCTTCAGACTACAACGCTGAAAACATGTTTGAATATGAGAAAGAGAGAGGCAAATAAAGAACTAATGAAAACTGTGGGGTTTGCTCTGTTGGACGGAGGAGTCTCTGAGTCTCTTGAATCAATACTGATAATAAACCCGAGCTTTTTTCCCAGCTAGCTTGCTATTGGATCTGTTGAAAGTCTTTCATGAGGCTCAAAGGGAGCTCCCCCGACATGCCGAGCAAACGGAAACATTATTAATTCATAGAGACACTGTAGTGGACACAGAAGCTGATATGAGCGAACAGAGATCTCTGCTCACTGCTACACCACATTTCATTTAAGCTGCTCTAGCTAGCTCAGCTTTTTAGGCTCAGTGCACCAAAATGACAAATAACATTATTTCAATACAATTATTTCTCCCACAATTGTTTATTTTTTAACTCCAGCCAGTTATCTTAAAATGATGATATAGCAATGTAGTCACTGTCTGCCTATTATTTATTGTCCACACTTTTAACCAGAGCTAACTTGTATAACGTATATAGTATCCTTTGTTTATATATTGGAAGTGGGAGGCTGTGGCTCAGTGGGTAGTGCGCTGAACTTCGAATCAGGAGATAGCAAGTTCGATTCCCACTGCAGTCAGCATGTCGTTGTGTCCCTGAGACACTTCATCCCAAATTGCTCCTGTGGGGATTGTCCACAGTATTGAGTATGTAAGTCGCTTTGGATAAAAGCGTCCAACAAGTGACATGTAATGATATATATATATATATATATATATATATATATATATATATATAAATATATTTTAAGTAGTAGTTTGAGCTAGTAAAGAGTATTGTTACTTTTTCTTGTATATTTTGTATTGTGAATACTATAGATACTCTTTAAATATATACGGTTTTATTTTATATTTTATTAACTCAACAGCGTGTGCACTGCCTTGTTTACAAATGGCTGTTCAAAACCTTTTTCCAATTTGGAATCAATAAAGTATATCTAATCTAATTTATGTGAACTAAGAAATAAAAAATCAGTTTAGGCTACAAATAATATTCTGTATGGGAAGGTTTGGATATATTTGAGGTGCTAGCTTAGGTAATGTAGGTACACAATACAAATAATGTGTACATGATTTTTCTTGTATTATCTGTCATATAGAGTCAAGGAGGATTAGTTATGACTATGATAACAACTAATGGGGATCCTAAATAAAATATTAAGTATGTGAAAGACATACAAGTATAAAAGACAACATTGCTGTTGTGTGTGTATGTGTGTGTGTGTGTGTGTGTGTGTGTGTGTGTGTGTGTGTGTGTGTGTGTGTGTGTCTGTCTCTCCCTCCCTCTCCCCCTGATTGTCTCCCTCAGGTGCAGCCTCTCCCTCAGGTGCAGCCTCTCCCTCAGGTGCAGCCTCTCCCCCAGGTGCAGCCTCTCCCTCAGGTGCAGCCTCTCCCTCAGGTGCAGCCTCTCCCTCAGGTGCAGCCTCTCCCTCAGGTGCAGCCTCTCCCTCAAGTGCACCCTCTCCCTCAGGTGCAGCCTCTCCCTCAGGTGCAGCCTCTCCCTCAGGTGCAGCCTCTCCCCCAGGTGCACCCTCTCCCTCAAGTGCAGCCTCTCCCCCAGGTGCAGCCTCTCCCTCAAGTGCAGCCTCTCCCTCAGGTGCAGCCTCTCCCTCAGGTGCAGCCTCTCCCTCAATTGCAGCCTCTCCCTCAGGTGCAGCCTCTCCCTCAAGTGCAGCCTCTCCCTCAAGTGCAGCCTCTCCCTCAGGTGCAGCCTCTCCCCCAGGTGCAGCCTCTCCCTCAAGTGCAGCCTCTCCCTCAAGTGCAGCCTCTCCCTCAGGTGCAGCCTCTCCCTCAGGTGCAGCCTCTCCCCCAGGTGCAGCCTCTCCCTCAGGTGCAGCCTCTCCCTCAAGTGCAGCCTCTCCCTCAAGTGCAGCCTCTCCCTCAAGTGCAGCCTCTCCCTCAAGTGCAGCCTCTCCCTCAAGTGCAGCCTCTCCCCCAGGTGCAGCCTCTCCCCCAGGTGCAGCCTCTCCCCCAGGTGCAGCCTCTCCCTCAGTTGCTCTCAATCCCCCTAGTCCAGGAGGGAACGTAACAATCGCAATCATAAATAAACCAAACGTTTTTTATCTCGGGAAGATATATTTGCTTACCTGTCGATAGTATTTGTCATATATGGGATTTCCAGTGGAAAGCTGTAAAGAAAGGGTCAAATACAACATGTGAGTTTACAGAATGATTCAAACATTTCTCCAACCCTTAAATTGAACCTTTAAAATAGTCCTTAAGAGAATAAACTTGTTCTTAATTATGCTTTCTCAGTTCTGCCAACACATGTTCGCTGGCTTCAGAAAGCGAGTTCCTTTCCGAACTAATGCAGCTGTCAGGAAAAAGTAAAAGCCTGATCTGTTACAGATGGCGGCCGCAGACACACAGGCTTTAACCAATATGTTCATAACTCAGCGTTTCATCGTGTGTAAAACAGCTGTATTATTTGTCAATGACCCAAAACATCTGGCAAAGAGAAATGAACAGTGACTTTGATCACTGCTCAGACACAAAGGAACATATGCAGTTTACTGAGCCAGAGAATAAGACTTGTAACTTTCACAATGGCAGAAGACACAGAAATACAACAGTTTTAGGGCAGCTCGATTATGGCAAAAATCATAATCTCGATTACAGTATTTGGGTCAATGATGAAATGCAATTATTCATTGACTTTGAAAACATCCATTTATTGGAGAAAAGCAGTTAACAGTTGATTACCCTGAACTTTAAGTAGAATTCAACTGAAAAACAAACAAAAAAAGTTGAAAAAGAAAAGTAATAATAAAAAAAATAATCGTTTTATTTCGATTACGTTGTTTTCGTAATCGTTGCAAGCCATAATCGTAAGCGCGATTAAAATACGATTAATTGAGCAGCCCTAGTTTGCACAATGATTAAAGAGACCAACCGTCAGGTAGGATGAAGCATTGAAAGAACACCAGACAGGATAATGTGTTACGAGAGCTGCAACGATTAATCAAATCAACTCGACAGAATAACAGTATTTGTATTTTGATAACAAATGTATTGTTTAAGGGAATAGGTCGTTGTAAAATAGCAGAAAAAGCTGTTTTCGGCCCCTCAAATATGTGGATTTTCTTGATTTCTCCGTTTTATATATATTAAAACTGAATATTTTAACAAAACAAGACATTTTATAGTCCAGAAGACTTAAGGAGAACATGATATATAAAATGAATTGATCATGAAAGCAATCAAAACTTCAGATTCGGGCTGGCACCATATTTTTCTTTGCCTTTTTTTAAATTAATATGTCTATTCTTTGTTGGAGATAAACCAACTGATCTTGAACTGAACTGAAACACAACAAGTTGAGAAAAAGGTCACGAGTTTCCAGCGCCGTAGATGACAAACTCTGCCCACCCCAGATACCAGATACCCCACCCAAGCTGTCTTCAAATAATGTTCTCAATCAATGAATCGTCTCCGCACTAGCTACACAATACCACTCACGATTCCTTTGGCCAAGATGAGCACATTACGTGTCTCACACCATACATTAAACATCTGAGTCACCATGACACAGAAGCTAAATTGTGAGACTTCAAGATATCGTCTACATTTCAAGAGGCTACTGATGGTCAGCGTTAGACAATTTAACGACAGGGCGTGACTCCACAGACAACAGCTAATGTTCTGTCATATCCTCTCTAAGCACCCCCCTTTCCGGTGTTCATACGTCCACTGCTGTGCCGAACAGGAAAGGAATCAGCAGTTCCTTCTCCATATAGCTCAAACTGACAATCGGTTGTTTTGCTTTTAAATCGACAGGTGCAGCAAAGGAGGAAACGAGTGGACGGTAGTTGTCGGAGTTGTGATTCAACAGGGGAGTGGCCATTTCAACCAGGGCATAAAGCTCTTGTTGCATCACAGAGAAACAAATTAGCATGTGTGAAATATTTCCATCATGTAAAAACCAGGGTGTCGCAGAGACAGCTAAGAAGAAGACTCACGCAAAAATACAGCATTAGTCATCTGTCAGCTTTGTCAACTGCCAATATACAACGAGATAACCTTCTACACACACACACACACACACACACACTGATCTTTCTCTGGCCAATGCAACTTATTTTTCTGTGAGAGACAATCGTGTGCCTGGAACTGTTGGCGGCTGTAACAGTGTCGTCATTGTACTGGTGACTCTTTAAATGAGCGTTGCAAAAACACTCCTCAATCATATGCCGAGCCAGCCCTTACACAGGCAGCAGATGGGAAGATAGTGCAGAGGTTCACACAATATGTAGTAGTTACACAATATGTAGATTCATTATTGACACTGGGAAATTATTATTTACATTGTGTTGAGATTTCTGATATTGTAATGTCATGGGGTTTGTCTTTTCCTGGCTTTGAAGGCTGTTAATATTCTGTATTTACTAGAAAGCAATTTATACGATTCTACAATGCTATTAAAAGACTGCTATTTTTAGTTCCACTACTTGATACTGTAACAACATTGTTGTAAAATCACACTGTGCAATACATACTCTTTCTATGTATTACTGGTATGTGCCTGCTAATCTTTTTTTCTACCTTCAATGTGTACTAATGTATTTATTTAAATCTTGTATTTATCTGCAGTCCCAACAACTCAAATGTCCCCGCTATAGGACGAAGAAAGGATTGCTTTTTTCTGTTCTAGCCACTCTATTATTTGCTTTCACCCATTCATTCATTATATCCAGATTATTGATGATTATATTTCTAAATTCTCATTGTGTCTCTCTCCACCAGTTCAAGAAATACCACATTCACTTATGGGTTGAGAACATATGAATGTGTAACATGTAATCCCAACAAAGTGTTACAACACAGAGATACCAGCCAGGCTTCTGAACTCCTCAGAGATAATGTCAGAGCTGCTGCTGCTGGCACACAGCTCCTCTCTGTTGACAGATCAACACTGTCTCAGGTAACAAGTACTGTAACCTAATTATTAGAGCTGCTAAATAACCTATTTTCACTGCAAACAAACACACATAACTATATTTAAACTGGCTAACAACACACTGGCATTTAGAGACAGCGGTGCTGACTGGTGGTTTCACAAATGCACTTCCTCTTTTACTTCTTGTAAAACAAATGTTAAGAATATGTTGAGTTTTCTGTTAACATTATAGAAAACAACAACAGCAGCTGATCACTGAAGAAAGGTCAAAGGGAAAACTGTGAACATGCATAGATTAGATCCTTATTATGGAAATGTTTTCTTCACAGCAGCAAGTAAACAAGGCATTGCACATAATGTGAAAATGAAGAAGTGTAGAACATAAAAACATCTCAAAATAGAACATTAAAAACAGAACTAAACAGTCAAATATATACATTTTGACAGTAAAAGATACACATGTGTAGACAACCTGTCAAATATACACTATGAAGGGCCAATTACAGCTAACCAAATTTAAAAGTAGGATATTATTTACATTAAGTGAGCAAGGAATAGCATATAAAATGTACTTATAATATTAGAAATAACCATGGTTGTAACACATAGCAAGCTACACAAATAACATGGGAACCCTGAACGTAATCTATGAGAAATAAAGAGTGTATTTTTAGCGATAAACAGTGTATTTTTAGCGGTAAACAGTGTTCGCAGAGGCTGGCCAGAGAAATGACAGTAAAGCCACAACACATGAGTATCCCGAACTAACATCTGTTTAGCTGGGACCAACTAGCCTGCAGCAAAACGAAGCAACACAAAACGAGAATAGAAATACACAGCAAACCGAAACGAAGACAAGTAACGTTACACGGCTTATCTAAAGTATGATAAAAGCGGCTGTAAAACAGTCCACCACTGGACACTAACTGGCGGTTAGTTAGTTAGCTAGCATGCTAACTAGCTAGCTACGCCCTTACGCAGTCCCCACAGAGATTAGGCTGAAACTTTTCCCAGTCACAGCAACACTAAACTTCCAAAAAAGAGACAACGGGCGAGTTAATATCGCCTTTCCGCTGGCCTAGTCATATAACAATGTTCAAATGTAACCCCGGCAGAAGACATGGAGTACACACGCCGTTAGCTGTCGTTATATTAGAGTTGTAAAACAGTGTTACCTGAGTGAGAGACAGAGTGGCAGCCATAGTGTTTCTGCTTCCCACTGCTTTCACGCTGCGCTGCTGCCAGAAACACACAGAGGCTGCCGCAAAACCCGGAGTGGATCCAGAGGAAGAAGAAGGGAATCTGTCCCAGCAGACTGCATTCAGCTGCCTGAAACACACAGAGGCTGCCGCAAAACCCGGAGTGGATCCAGAGGAAGAAGAAGGGAATCTGTCCCAGCAGACTGCATTCAGCTGCCTGAAACACACAGAGGCTGCCGCAAAACCCGGAGTGGATCCAGAAGAAGAAGAAGGGAATCTGTCCCAGCAGACTGCATACAGCTGCCTGAAACACACAGAGGCTGCCGCAAAACCCGGAGTGGATCCAGAAGAAGAAGAAGGGAATCTGTCCCAGCAGACTGCAAACAGCTGCCTGAAACACACAGAGGCTGCCGCAAAACCCGGAGTGGATCCAGAAGAAGAAGAAGGGAATCTGTCCCAGCAGACTGCAAACAGCTGCCTGAAACACACAGAGGCTGCCGCAAAACCCGGAGTGGATCCAGAGGAAGAAGAAGGGAATCTGTCCCAGCAGACTGCATTCAGCTGCCTGAAACACACAGAGGCTGCCGCAAAACCCGGAGTGGATCCAAAGGAAGAAGAAGGGAATCTGTCCCAGCAGACTGCATACAGCTGCCAGAAACACAGAGGCTGCCACAAAACACGGAGTGGATCCAGAAGAAGAAGAAGGGAATCTGTCCCAGCAGACTGCATCCAGCTGCCTGAAACACACAGAGGCTGCCGCAAAACCCGGAGTGGATCCAAAGGAAGAAGAAGGGAATCTGTCCCAGCAGACTGCATACAGCTGCCAGAAACACACAGAGGCTGCCACAAAACACGGAGTGGATCCAGAAGAAGAAGAAGGGAATCTGTCCCAGCAGACTGCATCCAGCTGCCTGAAACACACAGAGGCTGCCGCAAAACACGGAGTGGATCCAGAGGAAGAAGAAGGGAATCTGTCCCAGCAGACTGCATACAGCTGCCAGAAACACACAGAGGCTGCCGCAAAACACGGAGTGGATCCAGAAGAAGAAGAAGGGAATCTGTCCCAGCAGACTGCATACAGCTGCCTGAAACACACAGAGGCTGCCGCAAAACCCGGAGTGGATCCAAAGGAAGAAGAAGGGAATCTGTCCCAGCAGACTGCATACAGCTGCCAGAAACACACAGAGGCTGCCGCAAAACACGGAGTGGATCTCGAAGAAGAAGAAGGGAATCTGTCCCAGCAGACTGCATACAGCTGCCTGAAACACAGAGGCTGCCGCAAAACACGGAGTGGATCCAGAAGAAGAAGAAGGGAATCTGTCCCAGCAGACTGCATACAGCTGCCAGAAACACACAGAGGCTGCCACAAAACCCGGAGTGGATCCAGAAGAAGAAGAAGGGAATCTGTCCCAGCAGACTGCATACAGCTGCCTGAAACACACAGAGGCTGCCGCAAAACACGGAGTGGATCCAGAAGAAGAAGAAGGGAATCTGTCCCAGCAGACTGCATACAGCTGCCTGAAACACACAGAGGCTGCCGCAAAACACGGACAGGATCCAGAAGAAGAAGAAGGGAATCTGTCCCAGCAGACTGCATACAGCTGCCAGAAACACACAGAGGCTGCCGCAAAACACGGAGTGGATCCAGAAGAAGAAGAAGGGAATCTGTCCCAGCAGACTGCATACAGCTGCCAGAAACACACAGAGGCTGCCGCAAAACACGGAATGGATCCGGAAGAAGAAGGGAGTCAATTCAAAACCGTCCCAGCAGACTGCATCCAGCTGCAACCAGAGGTTAGCATTAGCAGCAGTGTTGCAAGATACTTCCAAAATGTAATACAGTACATATTATTTGTTAATGTATTTTATAAGTAATACGTTACATTACAATATTACTTTCTCTGAAATGTAATAAGTTACACTACTTTTATATTACTTTTGAGTTCACCAAAACATTGCTGTAATGATAGGTGTTTATTTATAGGCTACATGCATCTTTTACCACTAGGCAGCAGTATAACATAAGCTAACCATGTAATAGCAGAGGTGTAAAGTAACTAAGTGCATTTACTCAAGTATTTTGCTTAAGGAAAATGTTGAGATACTTCTACTACAGTATACAGAGTATTTACATTTGTTTTCTACTTTGTACTTCTACGCCACTACAATTCAGAGGTAAATTGTGTACTTTTACTCCACTGCATTTATTGAATAACTTTAATTAGTTTGTAGATTTGGATGAATGATGTGAAATATAATCACCTATTAAATCAGACTTTAGTTCCACCTGGAGTAAATCCACAAGCTACCCTGCAGTATACAAAGTCATTCAAACTAGCTGCACCTTCACCAGCTTTGAGAACACTTTCATGATCAATCATTATAAAACATATCATATATATTATTCTGAAATGGACCAATCTACACAACGACTACTTTTACTGTCGCTACTTTCACTATATTTAGATGAGAATACTTTTCTACTTTTACTTTGGGAACATTTTGAATGCAGGACTTTTACTGTAACTGAGTATTCCTACACTCTGGTACTTCTACTTTTACTCAAGTACAAGATCTGAGTACTTCTACTTTTACTCAAGGACAAGATCTGATTACTTCTACTTTTACTCAAGTACAAGATCTGAGTACTTCTACTTTTACTCAAGTACATGATCTGTGTACTTCTACTTTTACTCAAGTACAAGATCTGAGTACTTCTACTTTTACTCAAGTACAAGATCTGAGTACTTCTACTTTTACTCAAGTACAAGATCTGAGTACTTCTACTTTTACTCAAGTATAAGATCTGAGTACTTCTACTTTTACTCAAGTATAAGACCTGAGTACTTCTACTTTTACTCAAGTACAAGATCTGAGTACTTCTACTTTTACTCAAGTACAAGATCTGAGTACTAAAGCACCCAGATATTGTTCTAAACTGTATTAAAGTAAACAGGTATTATCTTGAACTGTATTGAAGTGAACATGTATTATTTGGGACTGTTTAAAGTAATCCTATATATCTAAACCTTCTTACTTACACTCCATGACCCAGAGACCCTGACACACACACATACACCTCCTCCTGTCTTCATGCAGCACACACACATAAACTCCTTAACCCAGATATCAGCAACACACACACATATGCCTCTGCTTATCAGCACACACACACACACACACACACACTTTCCCTCACTAACACACACACATGTTCTTTTTTCAAGGTTCCTTGCTGGGAATAATCCGAAGCACCAATATATCTGTGTACAATGTTTGATTGTTTTAAAAGAATAGTTTGTGTGAAACCTTCCCTGGGAAATTAAAGGAGTTGGGTCCGGTGGAAGATAAGAAGTGGCTCTCCACCTCAAAATATATCCATATATACTGTTGTTTCTTCATGCAAAGGGCCCCCTGTTTCTGACTGGCTGGTCCCGATATCTGTATCGCACGGCAGTAGAGCGGGGAGCCCGGAGTGTTCTGTTTCAGGGCACTCTGTATTTCGTATTGTGTTTTTTACCATTAAAATCTGATTATTGTTATAACTTTTATGCCGGTGTGTTGAACTCCTTTTATCAATCTGACCAGGCTCATCTAAAGGACGGCGCGGAGCACAGGTGGGCTTTAAGCCACCACTATTGTGTTTGCTCCTACAGTACTTATACTTTTACTCAAGTACAAGATCTGAGTACTTATACTTTTACTCAAGTACAAGATCTGAGTACTTATACTTTTACTCAAGTATAAGATCTGAGTACTTGTACTTTTACTCAAGTACATGATCTGAGTACTTCTACTTTTACTCAAGTATAAGATCTGAGTACTTCTACTTTTACTCAAGTACAAGATCTGAGTACTTCTACTTTCACTCAAGTACAAGATCTGAGTACTTCTTCCACCTCTGGTAATTAGATATGTTACTGAAGTGAAAGCTTAACTAATAAGCTCGTTATTGTTATAAGGACTAATACAAGTGTACATGTATTTGATTGCAGCTTATCCAGGAAAATAATTAAATAAAGATTGTTGTATTAATTATTTGTTTTGGGCTCATTTTGAAACGAGTCCACCAGCACTTTAAATGATTTATCAGAAATCTTAGCAGAAACCCAAAGCTGATGATGTTTGCTGTTCTGAGTTTATATCATACAGATATATTCATAAATAAATAAATGATAAATATGTAAACTAACAATGTAATTATTCATCTTCTGTTTGTGTATCAACTTTACTACATTTTATATGCATTCAATTATTTATTTCCTTATTTAATTTTGTATGTATTGTTTTTATTTATTAACCTATTTATTAATGCATTTGTTTATTAATACATTTATTTATTCATGTATTGTAATATGTATACTATTATAACTATTATGTTGAGTACATGTTTGAAATGTTTGAACATTTGAATATGTTTTATAAATTCAATAAAAAACACAAAACATCTTTTGCTTTTGATTTTAAATCTGTATAACTAAGAAACATTCGCAAATTAACTCGAATGAATCCCATAAACGTGTTTGTTTGAATTGTCTATCCATCTACCTACCTACCTACCTACCTACCTACCTACCTACCTACCTACCTACCTACCTACCTACCTACCTACCTACCTACCTACCTACCTACCTACCTACCTACCTACCTACCTACCTACCTACCTACCTACCTACCTACCTACCTACCTACCTACCTGAAAATGATACTCGAATGAATCCCATAAACGTGTTTGTTTGAATTGTCTATCCATCTACCTACCTACCTACCTACCTACCTACCTACCTACCTACCTACCTACCTACCTACCTACCTACCTACCTACCTACCTACCTACCTACCTACCTACCTACCTACCTACCTACCTACCTACCTACCTACCTACCTACCTACCTACCTACCTACCTACCTGAAAATGATACTCGAATGAATCCCATACACGTGTATGTTTGAATTGTTTCAGAAGTTGATAACAAACCCCTTAGCATCTGCAGTTCACTTTCCACCTGTTGTCCACCAGATGGGAGCAGAGCTCTTTAAATAAATGTAATTCTGATTAACTATTATTACATTCATTACATTATTACATTACATGTTACTTGTTAGACGCTTTTATCCAAAGCGACTTACATACTCAATACTGTGGACAATCCCCACAGGAGCAATTTGGGGTGAAGTGTCTCAGGGACACAACGACATGCTGACTGCAGTGGGGTTTGAACCCTCTGACCCGCTGATCCGAACACAACCGCGCCACACGCCTCTATTACTACCTGCATTATGTAAAGACAATTTAATT